TGTCACGTATCTTCGTTAATTAGTTTCTTTCGTAATATAGGCGCTAATTGCACTTTAAGTTAGCTAGTCGTTTTCGCATGTATAAATTAGTTTTTCTCAAGTTCAGAGTTTAGTCTTCCGTTAGTCATACAGTAGTTCGCTTTGAGCAGTTACTCCAGTTCATCTTATTTTCGCCTTTTGGCAGTTTATATTCGTCCAGCAGTTTCGTAGAAATCGTAACAATGTAAGTATTGTCATTTCAAGTTTATTCAGTTCGTTCAGTGTATTTCTTTCCTGTCACTTTTATTAGTCAATTGTTGTAATTTCGTATTCATTTATTGTTTTAAGTTTCAACCCACATAACGTCAACATCATTGGTACCCAATAAATACGTCTTCATTATCGTGGTGTTGTGAGGTTACGATTACTGCAGTTACACTTGTTACTCAGGGTGAGCCTGGACATCCTGGTAGATGAACAGCACATCTATAGCAAGACCCGTGGGGGATTTTTGCCAGTCGGTGCATCGTGACATGCACTACGCAAAAAGCAGGGATACATAAACCTATCATCTGGTCAGTCACTGCAACAGATACTGGAGTCAGTTTGTCTTGGCCTTTTCTTGCCACTGATTATACCTCTATCGGCCAAGAGCGTGCTGCTAGTCTAGCGAAAGCTAGCGGTACTTTAATACTTCGCAAGGAGACGGTTTCATGAAATGGTCAGTCAGAAAACTATTCACACCGGCTTGGAAGTCTCCCAGATTAACAAGGTCCGCGCTGATCTGTTCTCACTCCGTCAGGCAAAGAAAAGTATATTAGAAGCAGGCAGGCAGGGAAAAAGACGACGAAAACAGCAGCCTTATGCGTAGCAGAATAGAGTGAACGCATTCTGTTGGACAGGCTAACATCACAGCGCTCAGAAAGAAAGACTGCCCTTGTGGCCTCGGAAATGAAGAGTTCCAACGTAGACATAGCTGCGCTTCGTGAAACAAGATTACCTGAATATGACAACTTGGAAGATCATGGGTGTATTTTCCTTTGGAGTGTAACTCCCTAAAAGTTGACTTCGATCATAACCCCGAAAAGCAGAGAGAAAATTGCTTCTCTTGTATCAGGTATGCAAAGACTTTGTGTTAGAAAAACTAATTGTACCCAAAAAGTGTCGGATTCATGAGTCAGAGAGATCGTCTCTTAATTTGTATGAACCAGTATCGTTGTTTTTCATGGTAAAATAACAACAATTATGACAACTGCACAAAAACTTGACAAAGAGCAAATATTTCGCTTTCCCAATTAGACCATCAAAAAGCAATTTTAGCAATGAATCTGCGGGACGTTTCGACTGGAATGTTTGAGCGGAGAGCAATGGTACCTGTCGTTCTCTGTTGTCATGTTCTCTTCAGGTGCAGAATTTCAGTTTAAATTTACAAACCCTTTATTCCAGCTGGAAAAATGGGAAATTTTTTATAGATCATTTTCCTGTGACCTCAAGCTGGACACTATATTACTGGTGATGCGAAACCACAAACGCCGGCGCTGTATAAGTGGTGCAAACCTTTGGAATCTCAGCCTGGCCTGAGATTCGCCGTTGTCCCGTAAATATTTGGTACCTTTGACAAACCTATTCGATGAAGTTGCGCTCAATTACATTAACCGACAATAAACCGTCTTTTCGCGTTGAAGGCAATTCAAGAATTTTACACCGTAAACTGTTTTCATCTTCATCCAAAGATCGCGCAAGGTTAAGCAGTAGCAACTTAAACTAAGTCGATTAATGAGCTTTAACTTTAATCACCCCTTCTTCTATGGATCGTA